CCCAGAGAAAACTCACAACCAGTGGGGCTTTGAAATAATCGACCTGGCCACCCATGCTACATTTTGCAGCTTACTTTGAGGAAGCCAGAGAGAAACGTGGAGAAAATGCTCAACACATACCCAGGGGATAACACTCAAAACTCTGCGCAGCTGGATTTTAAAAAATCTATTGCTTCTATTTTACTTACTTGATTTGGCGTTTTCGTGACTGCAGGAATTACTCTTTCATCCATCAATCCCAGCAGCAGTCCCCATCCAAGCACTAACCAGGCTCAAACCTGCGAGATTGACATAAGGCCAGGCGTGCGTTCAGGGTGGCTTGTTTGTAGGTAAGATGTGGCTTGTTTGTAGGTAAGATGTGGCCAGGCAGTTGTGTTTGAATGGGGCCGGTTGAGTGGAATGAGTCAAGCTCCCAGAGGTGGTCATAATTTAAGTTCTGTATTATAGGGATATCCCTCCTGACCCATAGAGTGACCATGGAAATGATGGACCGATATTAAGAGGGAGGGGAAGTAAACTGCTGTGATTGATTCCCTACTGGCCAAGAGTTGGCCTGGCTGTAGTTTACTGTGAGCTCCTACTGCTTCCATTCACTTGCAAGACTACCTCGGCAGTACATAACTCAGCTCACTTGGTCTCTCTAATCAAGGGCATTTCACTGTCCCCAGGTTATCTTCTCGTCAGCTTTGATGTTGTTTCTCTGTTCACCAAGGTCCCTGTGCTTGACACCTTAGCATTAATTGAAGATTTAGTCCAACATGGACTGAACCCTGATGTTCCTACCCTGGTTTTAACGCTGCCTTACAAACACTTACTTCACCTGGAATGGTACCTTCTACAAACAAAATGAAGGTACCCCTATGGGTTCCCCCTTATCACCAGTGATAGCGAATATTTTTATGGAGAAATTTGAAACAGATGCCATCCAGACATACACCCTACGTCCCTCCCTATGGAAGAGATATGTGGATGCCACTTTCGTCATTTGGCCACATGGCCTACCAGCACTGAGCCAGTTTCCAAACCACATTAATTTCATACACCCATCCATCAAATTCACCATGGAAGTAGAGAAGGATGGCAAACTACCATTCCTTGATGTTTTGTTTGAGAATAGACCTGATGGCTGTCTGGGACACTCTGTCTATAGGAAAGCCACCCACACAGATTCCTACCTGAAACCTGATTCCCACCACCACCCGGCTCAGAAGAATTCCCTCATCAAAACACTACACCATAGGGCCTACTGCATTTATGACCAACACCACCTAGCCAGTGAACTGGAACATGCACACCAGACCCTTAAGATTAATGGATATTCGGACAATATCATCCAAAAAGCGTTCTCTCCAACCATGGAGAAACAACCCCTTGAGACACCGATCAAAACCATCACGTTACCATACATAGCTGGCGTTACCAAAATATTTCCAAAATCTTAAACAAACACAAGATCCAGGTCCGATTCAGTGTACAGTACATAAAATCCGTGATCTAATCCCATCTGAGAAGGATGTCATCCCTGACTTGCAATACCCGGGAGTGTACAAACTAAGTTGCATCTGTGGTGATTGTTACATTGGGGAAACGAAACGTCATGTCTCAGACCGTGTCCGCGAGCACAAGTCAGATTTGAAACACGGCAAAACTAACTCCTCTGCCGTTGCCGACCATTGCTACAGTGGTGTGGGCTCTCATGATATTGTTTTCTCCGAGACCAAGGTGCTCTGCAAACCTTCTGGCTACTATCAAAGGTTTGTTCATGAAGCTATCCAGATATATAAACACAGACATAACTTTAACCGAGAAGATGGATACAAATTGAGCAATCATTGGAAGGATGTTATCAACAAGGTAAAACCTTAACTGCTTTATTGTTTGCTCTCATTTCCACATCTCCAGTCTCTTACACCCAGCCCTGCTCAGTCCCATCATTTAGAAATTTGCCTTACGTGCTCCATGTACCGCCCACTGCTCTTCAGGCTATTGACCCTCAATGTCTCATTTGCCTCCTCTCCCCTCCACCCTCTCTATCCTTGACTCCGCCCCCCTCACTTATATAATCCCCCTGGTAATCGCAGGTCTTTTGCCTATTTCAGCAACTGCTTTTTTACTGTGATTGTTCCCGCCTGATGACGGACGCTTGTGTGATTTAATTTACTTTTATGTTTCACCGACGTGACTTTACCGAAAGAACCAAAGAGTATGCAAATGATAAACAGTCGCGTTTAGTATCGCGGAGCAAACAAAACTGTGCAACCAGGACTGAGCAAACGGAGAATGTCCAGAAACCGAGTTGTGATGCCGAGTCTTGAGGGTTCACAAAATCGATATTGGGGGAAGCGTGATGGTGAGTCATTTTGTGCACCCGTTACGTTTGTTCCAGTGTCAACTGTAACAGTGGAGAGATGCTGTACGTGGGGATGTGGGTTAAAAAAAAAAGAGAACTGAGTCATCTGAGCCAGGGTTTTGAACGGGTGAGTTTTACATGTTACTCATCTGCCTCGCGACCTATCCCCTCGGCTACAGCTCCCCCGTACAGTCAAACTAGGTCACCAATTAGCACGGTTGGCTACATACGGTGCGAAAGAAGTTTAACATACATATATATGCCTCATATCCTATCCCCTCGGATACAGCTCCTCCACACAGTTAAACTAAGCCTCCTTGTGTCATATCCACTCGGCCGAAATATTTGATGTTTTGGAAGAATTTTGAAATCCTCACCTTTTTTAATGTAATGTATGAGTCACCAGTCCACATGTCCTGTGATAGCATTAGCTCAGTGTTTTTATGATGTCATAGCGCACTGCGCTATGGAACTGGTGACCTGCGTTCAATTCCCATCCACAGCTAAATGGTGGCAAGTGATAGCTTAACAGGTCCTGGGCTCCCCACTTAACCATCCCGCGCTGATCTACGTGAAGTATGGTCAAATGACCACCACGACTGACATGGCATGTGGAAGCCTTCATCCAGTTGCGAGTTTTTAAAGGGCTGTAAATTAATGACTAAATGATCAATTATTGCATATGGCTTTGTGTGTAGCAACTCATAAGTCCATGTCCAGGTCTGAAAACCAGACAGCCTCAGGGGAAGCAGAATGGATGATGTCTCCAAGACCATCACGACTGACATGGCATGGGGTAGCCTTCATCCAGTTGCGAGTTTTTAAAGGGCCGTAAATTAATGACTAAACGATGAATTATTGCATATGGCTTTATGTGTAGCAACTCATAGGTCCATGTGCAGGTCTGAATACCAGACGACAGCCTCAGGGGAAGCTGAATGGATGATGTCTCCAATGCCGCCGCCGAATTTAGCCGAGGTTCACACTGATTCACAATGTGGTTCGCAGTCTGGCCGTGATTTCCAGCCGCATACCACTGGGCTTCCTCTGATTTCTGCACTTGAATAGGAAATTTGGGCGGCCACATCTGGCAGTAATCACCAACACCATCAGCCATGTTCAGTCCGCTGCTGGTCGAAGGCCTCTGCCACCTCTCACAAATCCTGTGGTACGGTAAACCGCCTCGTGCCTGCACGTAAACCGATTTCATCGCTCCTTCTCCTGAGGGGGACATCCTCACATTTCTTGAATGCCTCTGCGTTGTTATCCTTGACCCGAGTTTGGCAACCTGCGGCTCCACACCGCATGCAGCGGCTCTTTGGCTTCCCCCTTGCGGCTATTTTGCAGCCCCCCTTTGCGGACAGACGTTTTTTCTTCTTTAAAAAACGTAAATCTTCAACTTAATTTAGCGTGAAGATGATTGATTAAATATGGCAGTGAATGGGTCACTGTGGAATGTCCCAGTGACCACAAAATGTGCAAAATTTTAATAAATGCAGTTTTATCATCACCAATTGCGTTTAAGTCAGAATTTGCCATCTGCTGTATACCTGTTGCTGTGTTTGTGTACAAGTAGCTCAGTGTGTGATGCGGCTCTAGAACTATTTTGGTCAAAGACAAGAACAACAAATGGCTCTTCGTTTGAAAGATTGCCGACCCCTGTCCTTGGCCATCTGACATGATTGTAATGATCATATTCAAAGAGGTCAATTCGCGAGATATATGTTGATCTGACAGCGCCATTATAATGTATGCGGATTTAAGAGCTTACACAGTTTTTAGGTTTTTTCTGCGCTTGGGAATTTAGCACGATTTACTCACGTGGGGTTTCCCCTCTTTGTGCCCTGTGTTAGCCAATGTATTTGCTCAGTAGCTTTAGCAAAAGGTGTGGTGTTGACTTTTGGGGGGTGTTTGGAAATTTGACACTTATTATTGTGGCTTGAAGTAGTCGGAATAATTTGCATAAAGAAAGTTATTTTGAGATTGATTCACTATGTAACACGATTTTTGTTCCTGGATAGTAAGTGTTATTTCCTAATTGCTTATGCCTCAAAAGTACAGAAAATGACAATTCCACACAAACTTTGCTTTTGTGACCAGGACTTTACATGAAGGAATCACACAAATGAACACGTTTTCTCATTGAATAGAGTTAAATAAAAAAAATCACTGTCATGGTCACAAGAGCAAAGTTTGTGGGGATTAATAGCCATTTTCTGTACTTTTGAGGCATAAGCAATTCGGAAATAACACTATCCAGGAACAAAAAAATAATACATTTGTTACACAGTGTTATTAACGGAGTGGATTATTAACTTTGCTTTTGTGTCCTGGTCACAAAAGCAAAGTTTGTGGGGAATAATAGCCATTTTCTGTACTTTTGAGGCATAAGCAATTAGGAAATAACATGTACTACCCAGGACATTTTTTCTTTGTTACAAAGTGATATTTTAATAGTAATTTGAAGCTTTCGTGACTGCAGGAATCCATACTCTTTGGTTCTTTCGGTAAAGTCACGTAGGTATAAAATGAAATAAATCACGTTTCAGCAGCAGACCATGCTTTCCCACCTGATGACGGACGCTTGTGTTGCGCTCGAAACGTCGTGATTTATTTTATTTTATACCTACGTGACTTTACCGAAAGAACCAAAGAGTATATATTAAGAGTAGTTTAAAACCCTTTGTCAATGCACTGCTGGATAAAGGCCCCCCACATGCTCACTGTAGGTCATGTGATTTGTTTGTCCTCGTGTTACCACACTGGTTCGAGCGGGCTGATGAAGGAGGCTGACTGAATAAGCGTCATGCTCTTGACTGCTGAGCCACCTAGCCTCCTCAAAATACGTGGCCTCAATACATGACCTTACTTAATTATGGGTCTGTGTCTCCTGACCTCACACAAATGTGGGTCAGTTCTTGGTCAGTCGCCCTAAGGTTGTGCTAGAAACAACACATTCCTGTGTGGCGCCACGGTGGTGATTTGTTAACTACCCCTCTTACCTCCGATTAGCACGGGCGGCTCTGTACGATCTGAAAGATGTTCAGTATACATACATACATAAGTATACGGGAGGTCGTGGGTTCTATCTCGACTCTTGACACCTGTGTATTTGGGGTTTGCATGTTCTCCCCATGGGTTGCGTGGATTTTTCACTGAGTTCTCCGGTTTTTCCCTTGCCATTTGGCGAGTTATATGTGAACTGGTCTTGGGGCTCCCCACTTTCGGGAGAAAAAAAACACGTCCTGACCAGCTTGGTGAAGTGTGGTCCAATAACGTCCACGACCGACCAACATGGGATGGGGAGATCTTCAGTCAGAGTTGGATTGACTCCTAACAGTTTAACCATATTCACGACACTGGTCATGAGTATGGGCAGTGCCCAGGATCAATTTATGTATCACTACTGATCTTAGCCGTGCCTGGCAACTAAACTGGTTCTTGGTGCAGTGTTTACTAACTGCTACGCTGCTGCTCAACCACTATGACGTTATAAAATATCTGAGACGAAAAAAAAACGTGTGCGTGCATTCACTATTCTAGATAACATCCCTCTCTGCCCTCTGCTGCTATCAGTGTTGGGAGGGCACGCTGACATATGTGTGTGTAGTAGCAGTAGGTGGTGCGCTGGTTACTGCATTGTGCACTAAACCCAGCGACCCGAGTTCAATTCCCGGCAGTGAAAAGTGATATATGGGCCCTATCTTGGACTTTCCATGGATAGAAGGTGCAGAGTGTAAACCTTAGCACTGAGAGGCAAATGTAGCCTGGCGTGATGCTGGCCACACCATCCCCTCGTGTGCCACGCTAGCCTTAATCGGTGCTTTTTAACACCACTTTTCCCAAGAGTCTTTTAAAGGCTATATACAAAGAGGTAGGGGAGGACGGTTGTCTTTGCATTTGGGTGTGTATTGTTAAACCGTGTAATTGTTTAGTTTAATTAGATTGCCGAAAGACAGTACTTCTCCAGATCAGCTGATCTGCTCTCAGCCACTCACATTGGGACTTTCCACCCAGTCATGCAAATGAAAAGTGGGTTGTTACCACAGGTGGCCAGCGAGTTGCGACCTGGTGTCTGATTGGCTGCCTCTGTGCTATAAACAATGTGGTTTCGCAAGCAGAGTAAACAGAGTTGGACTGGCATGAGACTGGCTGCAGAGCTGATATGAGTTTTGTAGGGCTGGCGTGAGAGTGATAAGAGATGCAGCCTTGGTGTGAGTGCAGTCCTTGCTCAGTCAGTTGTGTAATTTTTTGGTGCGGTTAATATTTTTTTACTGTGATGCTGTCAGTTTTAAGATTTTTGTTTTGTTTGTTAAATAGTTCAACCTTAAACATCACAACTGTTGTGCTTGGGCTACGACCGGCAAATGTAGCCCTCGGCATGAATATCTGAACAGCATATTGAATTTGGAGGCAACGCACAAGGCAGCGCAATAGTTTCTGTAAATTTACGGCTGCGTAGCATCGCGAACCGAAAACCCTTGTACATTTGTCGAGGCGAAGTTCAATTGACGGAAGCGTGCGGTGGATTTTGGTTCACTGTGCCAGAAAAAGTAGAAGGTATGTTGATGGGGAAGCGGAGCAGCATAGGTATCCGTGTGGGTGGGACATGAGCCGCCGTCACGATCACCTCGAGCCGTCGTGAGATGCCGCCCACATCACTCTGCTGTGGAAGCACCGACTCACACCTGGAAGCTCTTTGGAAACTCTCTCGCCTTGGTTCTTCGATGCTGCAGTAGTTTTTCTAGAGCCACCATCATGAAGGTGACCGTTTCCTGCCGGGCAGCCATGGACAGCATGATAGCGCAGTGGAGAAGGTAACCTGCCACTGGCATGCACACCTCATTGTATGTGTGTGTGTGGGGAGCGGTAGTGCAATGGTGAGCGCGCTGCGCTACGAACCCGGCGAGCTGAATTCGATTCCTGCTTATGCCCAATATTGGTGACAAATATCTGAACTGATCCTGGGCCTCTCCTAGGTTGACTCAGCCTGAAATGAGTACCTGATGCGGTGTGTAAAAAAAAATCGCCATTGAGGAGACAAAGGCTGATCAGGTGTGGTGCTGGCCACCCACCTCCTCGTCCATTGTGCCAGTCTTCATAGGTGCCTCTCTAACAGCACTTGCCCCAACAGTCTGTTAAGGGTATACTGGGGGATCTTCGTTTTTGAATATGCTGTAAGGAGTGTAGTGGTAGGTGCACTGGGCTGCAAACCTGGCAACCCGAATTCGATTCCTGCTCATGGCCAATATTGGTGACGAATATCTGAACTGGTCCTGGGCCTCCCCTCGGTTGACTCGGCCTTAAATGATTCCCTCCAACAGTGTGTAACGATAGCACTAATGAGACGAAAGTGGCCGGGCGTGGTGCTGGCCGCTCACCCCCTCGTGGCGCCGTCTTGGCCTTGATTGGTGTCTCGCTCACAGCACTTGCCCCAACAGTCTGTTAAGGCTACACGGGGGGATCTTTGTCTTTGTGAGTATCAGTGTGTAATATTATGGGCAGCGGTGGTAGGGTTGTGATAAGTGTATTGCACTGTGAACCGAGGCAAGGTGATCTTGATTCTGAACCATGGCTAACAACAGTGGTGTATATTAAAGCTGGTCCTTGGCCTCCTGTAGGTTGACTCAGTCTTAAATGAGTACCTGGTGCAATGTGTGAATCATCGGCACTGAAAAACCAATGCGGCCGGGCATGGTGCCTGCTACACCAAACTTCTAGTGCTCCGGGATAGATTTAATAGTTGCTCGCTTTCGAAACATAAGAGTACAATAAAAGTAATTTGGGTTATATCACGTAAATATAAATGCGTCGGTAACCCACCACCACCCAACACAGACAAATTAGTAAGATTTGTCACGTAAACAAAATGTGCCAATTAGTCAGTACTTCAGCACACCGGTGTGGTGGAAAGTAAACCCATAACATTTACAATTTGAGTACGACTTTTAGGTGGTAATTTTCAACGAGCTTCTTCGGGTGATTGTGCAGGAATTGTGAGAAAAATCCTCCGGTTTCCGATCTTAAATAGAGCGAGCATGTGACACAATCGGAGCCAAGGTGGTAGTGAGGGGTTGGGGCGCTCCCAAACCTTCGTGCCATGTGCTTTGCCAACGGCACGGTGGACCCGCGGAGGATTGGAGGAAGAATTGTACGATACATTCTACCCACGAGCAAATGTGTGCGTGTGTGATTTTACGGACCTAGTTCAACATGTGGTCTCATCATAATGATTTAATAGTGGTGGATACTTTGTATGGGCAATCTGTATAATAGGCTGACGTTTCAGGAATTTTGCCTTCAGATTAGAGAGGAGCAAGAAGGACCAAATTTCCCAAAACTTCATCCTTTTCTATATTTATTTTCTGCTATTAGAGAAATGCGAATGATAGGGTGGCGGCTGATGTGGCTTGGGGTTGTGCCTGCGTACCTCTGGCAAACGGCAGTGCCTTAATTGTTCATCATACAAAACCGACGACGATTCCCCCTCCTCCCACCTGTGTTCGTTCACATCTCCAGTCATAAATAGATAATGAATGCTCGTGAATAGATAATGGCCACTGTCAGGTGGACTTCGAGGAAAAGGCGCCGCATTGACGTACTCGCCGCATTACCGACTCATTTATCTTGTGCGCATTAACGCATTCGCCGCATTACCGAGTCACATTTATTTTGTGCGCATCGCGCTTGCTTACCCCAGGGAGGCCTCGCGGAATCTCAAGGCTCTCTTTTTTTCAGGAGGGTCCTACCGCATCTTTGACGATCGCGAGCGATGTTGCCACTGGAGCGTGCAATCCCAACGGTGTAATTTGTAGGTATTTCTTTTCAGCGTTCAGATGTTTTGGCCATTGTATATTTCTTGTGGCTGTGGGAGGAAACCAAGGAGCCCGGAGGAAACCCATGCGGAACAGGGGGAGAAACTTGCAAACTCCACGCAGAAAATTGTGCCCGAGTTGGGAATCAAACCTGGGTTCTTCTTGCTGTCAGGCACAGGTGTTACCCAAGCAGCAGCACCCTGACACGTAATGTATAGATAGCCATTGTGCGTGAGTGATGTACGTGATCATGATGTTCTAGAATTATTAGAAAGTTAAACTTTGGTACAAATATAGGCGAGTACATTTTATAGTCAGAAATTTGGGCTTGCAAAAAGGATGGCCTAGATATTTATTGATTGGTCTAACCCAGTGTCCTATTTAGAATCTTGACACAACATATTTACATTTATTGTATGAGGCGTTGAGTTTTTCGTCTGTTCTGTTAACTGGCATTTATCTACGAGTGAAACGGACAAAAATGTGGAAAATGAACAGAGGTTATAGTCTTTTTTGAAAGCAGGTTAAAGCCCAATTTGTTTTAGAAAGGGACACAGATTAATGTATTTACTTATGGCCGGAGTATTGTTTTTTCTTGTTGTTGTACTTACTGAGTAGTTTACGGATGTTTTTAATATGAGTTGAAATAGCGCACGTGGGCACGAGCGAGTACGTGCACAGTTACCATGTGTGGCGTGCATTTAAACCGTTTGGCCATGCCCTTTAAAACCTCTGCTGATCAACAAAACCAAAAAAAAATGACAAGTGGTGACACAACATTTCGCAAGGAAGACCCAGTCAGGGCATATTAAGTACAGATATCCCTTGATTTACAAAAGGGATGCGTTCTTAAAAAAAACACACTTAAAACAAACATTTGATTAATAGGAATGACTTCATTTAATACAACACAATTTGGAATGTGTTACAGTTATTCGAACAATATTCCTAACCTAAAAATAGACACCTATATTACTTTTCACAATTAAAAAAAACACAATTCAATAATAATTTATTTAAAACAAAAATAATTGACCTTTTCAGGGAAGTCACCGAAAGATCTGCACGTTGGAATGAGTTGAAAGGGGAGGTGGGGGCGTTCCTGCTGCACTGTAGCGATACCTTGACCCTGTCGAGGCTGGATGATGACTGCAGCCTCCAAGGTGCTTCTCGTTTGATCTCGTGGCGCGTGACCGTAGTGAAATTTCCATAATTTGTCAATTGTATGGGCACAAAATTTAGTGAACTGAACTTTCGTAAATCGAGGAATACCTGTATGTAATGATGCATCCATTCAAATTGATTCTTACGCTGCCGATACACGCATCAAATTGTGCTTGTGATCACGGATGATTTCCGATTCTCGCAAACGATACGGAAATTATACGTTGTATTGAGAATTCCAGGACCTCCGATTAGCATGGTTGGCTGCGTACGGCGCTAAATAAGTTCTAACACACATACATACAAAGGCCAATTTGCCTAATCTTCACCATAACAAGTGGTGTTTACCGCTAAGTGATGGTGATGTCACCATGGCTTTAGCGCCACATACAGGCCACGCCTGTCGCTCGCATGTAGGCGAGCCACGCGCTTGTTCATAAACACATGCACCTCTATAACATCGTACGGTACACACGGACCCGTAACAATTCAATCAAACAATCTACACAGTTTTGATTTAAAGCTTTCGTGACTGCAGGGATTCATATTCTTGGTTCTTTCAGTAAAGTCACGTAGAAGGGAAACAATAAAATAATCCATTATTTTTCGTCTCCCCCCTCCTCTTTTCCGAACATAGATGGACTCGTCCATCTGAACAAACTGTCAAATCGCTATCCGTGGTGCTAACGTTAAAAAACCGCCACTTTCAAATTTTCTTGTTGTGGTTTTCACACCTGATGATGATTGCTTGTGTTGCAGTCGAAACGCCCTGAGAATTTTATTGTTTTATATTTTTATTTTATTGTTTCCCTTCTACGTGACTTTACCGAAAGAACCAATAATATGAATCTACACAGTGCCAAATTAGAGCTTGTAAAAAGACACGGTACCAAATTTCCCAATAAGATCACTTCCAGCAATGTTTCCATGTAACTACTTCATCTTAAAAAAAAGTGCTGAGAAAAGTTTTGGATTCTTATATGGAGCCAAGTTGTTCTCCGTGGCGGAGCTGAAGTGTTGGTGGTTCGCTTACTGCGCTCTGAACCAGCTGACCTGAGTTTGATCCCCAGCCACAACTGACATCAGTGGCGAGTGATATCTGAACCGGTCCTGCCCCCCCCACCCCTCCTACAAAAACCCACGCTCACCAGGATGGTGAAATAAGGTAAAAAAATGGTTTGACACATCGTCGGGGAGGTATTCATACAGCAGTAGCTTGACAAAGGGCTGAAATTCTACTCTTGTGGGTTGGTGAAGGGGGTGAATCCCACGGACGGTTCAGATAACACTCGCCACTGATGATAGCCGAGACCAGGGATTGAACGCTGCTCAGTTCAGAGTGCAGTTGCTTGAACCGCTGCGACACCGCTTCACCCCGTGTCATGTTATAGCACGCGGCGTCGTTACAGGCCCGCGCTGTGTAAACGTGAGAGCGTTCGAGCGGACATTGAGAACGCTGCCTCCCCTCGACTTTCTTGCACGCACGCTGTGGTCGTGGCACCATACAGATGCACGCTGTGGTGGCACCATACAGTGACGCGGCACCGCTTCACCACGTGTCATGCTAGCACGCGGGGTTGTTACGGCCCGCGTTGTGTAAACGTGGGCGCGTACGAGCAAACAGTTGGAGAACGCTGCCCTCCCCTCGACTCTCTTGCACGCACGCTGTGGTCGGGCACCATACACATGCACGGGTGAGGCATCCGTACAGTCTCAACACTGAATCAGAATGCACCCCAGCAAGTGGAGGGAAATGTGGAAGCCTGTAACTGTCTTGCAACTGGGAGCTGAGAGGTTAATCAGCAGCTTGGTTAACGCTTTCTATCAATGGCTGAAAG